TTTCAGAAAAAATTAAGATACCTGGCATAGTGTTTCCTGTCATATCTTGTATTTATAACAACAAAAATATTTCGACTGAATAAAGAAGCAGGGACGTCGCGAAGCCATCAACATTGGCGGTGGGGGGGGTCGTCATATTTTGACCAACATTTCTAGGATTTTGACCAAGCCATACAAATTTTTCCCGGAAATGTTGTCGACGGAGGGGGGAGTGTAGGTAAAAAAAAATTCCGGACAAAGGGATCATTCATTATTTATGACCGGGGGTGGGCTGCCAAAATTCAATTAACAACTAAACAATGCAAAATGTCCTGCCTCCCTACATCACAAAAAATTCAATGACCCTCTTCACACGAATTCTAAAAAATAGTCCCCCCAATGTATACATATACACATGACCAAGCATCATATCTAGTTTACTTGTGCCTTCAACAATATGCATATTTAATCAGAACAAACTCTGCTAATCCTAACTTTAGACTGGCCAGAAGAATTTTAAAAAATTCTGACCTAAAAATTAGAATCCAGTTTCAGTGTATTTTCTACACTACAAAGTATATTTTCTACTAAAGCACACATTATGTACTTAATACTAAATTAAACCATGTATAAAATACCTAGTATATACTAGTCTATACAGTGTACGCCAAACTTGCTGTGGACGTTATGTTGCTACAGTGCCGTACTGTATGAAGCTCATTTTATTGGGGGCTGAAAACGAGGGCCAAAGGCCCGAGAAATTTTTAAATTTAGAGTCTCTGAAATGCCATTTCCTGGACTTTGGGAAAGATTTGACAAAATTGTGATGGTCAGAAAACAGCGTTTTAATATAGTATGTCGAAATTTGCAATTTGTTTACAAATGAGTAGTACTACATGGTCAAAGGCGTCTTTAATTTAATTAACTATACATTGGATAAGTTACCAGAAAGTATGGGTAATATCTTCATTCTTTGCAGTTTGTCATGGATAATGTAGTACGGCCTTGTACTACAATGCTTACACGTTATCGTGAGTGTCTTTTTTATTAAAATGCACATCAGGGAAACATGACAATATTCATGGCAAGTTTATGGCAAAAGTTATAAGGTAGATTGTAGGTTATAAGGTTGTTTTTCATATTAGCTGCACGCATTGCATTTTGGGTATTTGCGCATTGCATTTTCGATCTATGATCAGTGTTGATTTAAATTGAGAATTTTGCTAGGTACATGAATTAAATTTGCTGCCTTGCTCGCTCTCTGCTGTAGCAATAATCGTTACATGTCAAATTTTCCCCCACTATAATAAAATAACTGGACCTCCCCTTCTGAAATAATACTTTTCCGTGCCCCCCCCCTTTTTCGGTCAAAAATACCTCATGACCCACCCCCTTTTTTTGCCAGGCCACCCCGGGTCATAAATAATGAATGGTCCCTAGCATAAGCATAGTCAAAAAAATTTTCCGGACTAACATAAACATACTCAAAAAATTTTTCAGGACTAACATAAGCATATTCAAAATTTTTCGACCAAGATAAGCAAGGTTTCCAATTTTTTCACCGCAAACATAACAAAAGCTTTAAAATTGTTAAAATTGCGAACCATTTCATAAGTTTGACCTACTTCGACCATCTTTTATCGCAAACTTTTACCAAACTTTTCCGAGTTTTGCTTTCAATTTTAAGCAAATATCAGTTTCATTTTGACCAACTTTGGGCAAATATCAGTTCCATTAATTTTGACCAACTTTGACCGTTTGAATTATTGGGAGGGGGGTACACCCCCCACACACCCCTATAGCGACGTCCCTGTAAAGAAGAAACACTTCCACCCCTTGTCAGGCGCCATATTGAATTTTGTGGCCGTGTTAGAAACAGACCAATGAAATAGACTTGCTCCTAATATAAGACCTGAAAACAGACCTACGTTTCGCCCGCCCTAAAATTCGCGGGTCGACGGAAAGGAAAACAGGCTGGGCGAAACGTAAGTCTGTTTTCAGGCTAACTTGCTAAAAAGTATGGATCCACTATACTGTACATTACATGACGTAGTAAAGAGGGGCGGAGCGATTCAACTTCGGAAAATCTTAGCGAAAATCTCGGTTCAAAACTGAACCGAAAATGCAAGACTTGCTTTAATTGTTTTCTGTCAGTGTTTATACGTATTGATCTAGCACAGTGTAAATAACATGATTTCCATTATAGTAAATAATACAGAAAGAAATTGAAGGAAAACAATTAAAGCAAGTCTTGCAATTTCGGTTCAGTTTTGAACCAAGATTTTCCGAAGTTGACAAGTCTCTCTTTCTCGCTCCGCCTCTCTCTTTCTCCGCTCCGCCTCTTGTCTCGCTCTCTCTCTACGTTTTTCGTCGCTAATGTATTAAATGTACACTATAGTGGATCGAGATGACAACGAAATAGAGACTTGGAGCAAGTCTATGTTAGAAAAAGCCTGGTGACTAGGTGCTCTGACGGATCTGAAATAGCCCTAACCTCATATCTATGGCCCTTATATTAAGCTTCACGTCGTGCAATGCTTCCTGTTCTATCGCATTCCCATTAAACGTCACTGCTTCACGTTCTATCACATTTCTATCTCGTCCCCAGGCGCTTTGATTGGCTGCACAATGGCAATTAACAAGGTCTGTGATTGCTCGCTGGCAATTTTTACCCAAATTATCAAGTTTTGAGAAAAATTCAAGAATTTTACTAAAAAAGCCAAAGCAGCTGTTTTTGATATTTTAACCAGTATAAATATGTTTACGTTCTTTTAAAACTGCTTTTTTATACGGCATTGAGGATTCAACGACAAGGATATAATCAGTGGCGGCGCCAGGCCTCCGAATTTGGGGGCAATTGAGGGGCAAACTCATATTTTGGGGGCAAGATAAAATTTTTAAAAAGGTCGCCCTCCTCCCCAAGAGATTCGCCCTCCCCCTCAAAAGGGGGCGAATATACTAGGAATATCGCCCCCCAGGGGGGATGGGGCGAATACCCTAGGAATATCGCCCCCCTTTAGGATATTCGTCCCCCATATATGCGATGTGGTTTATTCAAATAATTTCGTGATACTTTCATCTTATTAGTGCCTTACACGTTTGAGAATTTAACTCTGCAAAACTAAAGCTTTTTTGTCTTTTTTGAAACGTATTATTGGAGTATTGGCAAGTTTTACCATTCAGAGATTTACAAACTAATATTGAAACTGTAAAAAACAGTTTCATGTATACGCGCATTCACTAATGAGTAATGACAACTTATAAGCCATACATTTTCCGATAACGACAAAACGCTTGTGTAGCCTTTAGTCACTCTTAGTGACTAATAATTTTTTTTGAGAGGGGGGGGCAAAATGGGGGGGGGGAATAATTTGGGGGGCATTTGCCCCCCCCACCCTTGACGCCGCCACTGGATATAATGATGTTTGCGATGCTCACCATGGTGGGAATCGAAGCCATTGGCCCATTGAACTAGTATCGCGATTGTAGTACCATCTAAGTCTCTCTATGGGTTTTAGCCTGCGAATGAGAGATGTCTGCCGAGGGCTATTTCGAGCGTCTTGTTAACTTTATTTTGCCGTGACTTTTTATTTTTAGATATATATGTCGTTGCAGCCAGGAAAGCTTTACTTAAACTCATTGATGTTATAAAACATTTATTATTATCAGCTTTCTACACCTTATATACAATTAAAATAAGACTAAAAGCGATTTCAAACAAGTTTCGTCCTTCGGACCTTTTCAAAAAATTGCCATATTTGTAAATAGATAAAATGAATAAAAACTTCATGTAGCACAAATATTGTCAATCTTCTGTTCAAAAGGGTAAAACTTCATGTAGTCACATATAATTACTCTTTATTTTGCCCTGAGTTAATTTCATTTTGCCGTGAGGGACCGGTCATTATTTATGGTGGAGGGTGGCACCGAAGAGAAATGTTTTTCGTGGCAAAAATTTTGCTGACCCAACCATTAAAAAATCAAAAATTTGATTACCCAACCTCAAGTATCATTTAAAAAATAAATACCCACCCCTGGCCAAAAGCATTACAAAAGGATGTCATTCAGTTGTCACACATGTCCTTTACCACTCTGTGATACGAGTTTAATAACGTTCGGCTTGTGAAATTTTCTGACTTTTCTGCAGTCTAAAGTTTCATGTTGTCTGCACATTTACTTTCTTTGGAGACACCATTTGTCTCTCAATAAATCGGAAAATGATGAAGATAGTGACTCTGATTGATTCACATATTGTATTGACAGATGACTGTTGACATTGAAGTTTTGAGGTCGGGAATCTTCGAGTTAAGCCCTTCGAGTTAAGCCCCTCGAGTTAAGCCCTTTTCGAGTTAAGCCCCGACCACGCCCTGTTTTGCCAAGACCACGCCCTTTTTCAAAAAGGGCTTAACTCGAAGAACGAAACACGATTTGGGTTATTCGAGTTAAGCCCTGGGGCTTAACTCGGAGTTTGACGAAAAAGTTGTTGCTCGAGTTAAGCCCCGACTTTTGAAGTATGTCAACGAGTGCAATATTAAATTGTCAAATTTTCAATACAAAAAAGCCAAAGCACAGAAACTTTTCCCAAAAGAACTTATATATCGCTAATGTAATACGATTATCAAAAACAAACACAACTATTATCGTATTTTAGGTATACTTTAGGTTTTTCATATTAAATTAATATTAAATTTAACAACAGGTAATTACTTTTAGTGGATCGTTTATCCACAACAAAACAACAAAACAATATTTTAATTATACAGTAGATAGAATCCTAACTCGTTCCTTTTGTTTCAATGTGCACAATATCGACAAATTAACAGTTTTACTGTAACAGAACATCTATTAAGAAAATGATCGAAAATGACAGCACGTAACTGACAAAAGAAAAAGGGAGGAAAGGGAAGGAATTTCTGTATAGAATGATCTGTCTTTGACAACTTGCGCCCAGAGACTCGCGCCTCATACGCACATGTACAGTAATTTTATTAGCCAAATGGTTACGAATCACGAATGGCTACATTTGGGTAAACAAATTATCACGGGGATAAATTGTTACATTTGGGTATTTTACTCAAATGTAACAATTTATCCCCGTGATAGTTTGTTTACCCAAATGACACCATTCGTGATTCATAACCATTTGGCTAGGCGTGAGTCTCTGGGCGCAAGTTGTCAAAGACAGATCATTCTATACCGAAATTCCTTCCCTTTCCTCCCTATTTCTTTAGTTATTACGTGCTGTCATTTTCGATCATTTTCTTAATAGATTAGTTTTGTTCAAGGTGATGGGAGAAGGTTGTACCTTTTTTTTACAGTAAAACTGTTCATTTGTCGATATTGTGCACATTGAAACAAAAGGAACGAGTTAGGATTCTATCTACTTTATAATTAAAATATTCATTTGTTTTGTTGTTTTGTTGTGGATAAACGATCTACTAAAAGTAATTACCTGTTGAGTATTAATTACTTCTGATTGTTTTTGATAATCGTATTACATTAGCGATATATAAGTTCTTTTTGGGAAAATTTCTGTGCTTTGCCTTTGGCTTTTTTGTATTGAAAATTTGACAATTTAATATTACACTCGTTGACATAATTCAAAAGTCGGGGCTTAACTCGAGCAACAATTTTTTTGTCAAACTTCGAGTTAAGCCCCGGGGCTTAACTCGAATGACCAAAAACGTGTTTCGTTCTTCGAGTTAAGCCCTTTTTGAAAAAGGGCGTGGTCATGGCAAAACAGGGCGTGGTCGGGGCTTAACTCGAAAAGGGCTTAACTCGAGGGGCTTAACTCGAAGGGTTTAACTCGAAGATTCCCGACCTCTGAAGTTTTCAGTCTTCAATATTTGAGTGAGTCATGCTTTGGAAATGACAATAAATTTCTATTACCCAACCTTTGAGTTGTTTCGTTTTTCATTTACCCAAACTTTTACTCACTCAAAATTTTGTTTACCCAACCTTTTTCTCTTCGGTGCCACCCCCCGCCATAAATAATGACCGGTCCCTGAGTTAACTTCATTTTCCCATGAGTTTATTTTGTTTTACGTTGCAGTTAATTTTATTTTGCCATGTAATGGCTCAGTTTAGTCAGTTACTTTCGCTGTGGGCCAAGTTCAATGTGTGGGCCACATATTTTATAGCGCCTGGGGGACCAAACTCTTCCAAGCTTGGTGGGATTAACGGATAACTTCATTTAGCCAATCAGATTACGAACTTTTGTGGATCGTGATCTGATTGGTTAAAATGAAGGCGGACCAGAAAGTAGAAGGGTACCTACAAAATGGTCAAATAGCTGGTATCCTGGCGTGAAACTTTAACTTTTATAGAACTTAAAAAAGTTTAATTTAGGTTTTTAATCGTGTTTTTAAATTTGATATGACATAAACAAGTAGTAAATTAAGGTACATTTTTAGACTTTTATAAGTTAGATAAAAGCACGTACAAAACACACTGCTAACTTTTTTAGTCGTAATTGCCAATTCAATTGATCGGTAAATCAGAACAGAAGATCGGTTGAGCCGCTACGCAGGCTATTTATTATTTATCGAAGGGTAAATTACAAATAAATTTTTTAAAAAGAAAAGTACCCCATCAGTCCATACTTCCCGACTCTGCTAACTCGTATCGGTCAAGTCCGTCTCGTGCTAGCCGCTAGAACGCCGTATGTTAGCGTTTAGGGTAGATTTTGGCTAAACCCAACGTTTAATATCGTAAGAGGCGAATCTCTATAACGTCGGAAATTGCCTTTTGTACCGAGTCTTTACTACTGCAAAAAGGGCACTTTCTTTCCAGCAAAAAGGGCACTTTCTTTCCAGCAAAAGAGGGCGTTCATTCAAGAAATATTTTTTTCATTCTTTGAATGGAGCACTTTAGAAAAAGCTTAAAAGAATTGGGGGACAACATGCTCCCATTGCTCCCACGTTTAGCGGCCGCAGTGGTTCAGTTACAAACTGGTATCGAACGAACGACGGGGGAGAGTGCCGGCGGCCCCCAGACCATTATGCCTGGCACCCTTTTCGCAAGATCCTATGATCGGTAACTACCACACACAAATAAAAGTAACAGTTCGGTATATAAGTACGTTACAGTTGCCTGGTGTGGTGCATGTGGGACGCTTCAGCTAGATGTTTCCAAACCTTTGAAACGAACGCATGCAGTGGCGTGCTGGCAGGGGGGGCTGGGGGGCCACGCCCCAGCTGGCAATTCTTGCAGGGCGCAAAAATGAAAAGGGGGCGCCGATCCCGCGCCGAGTTTTGAAAGTGGGTGGGAAAAAACGCATTCAAAAAAATATAGTTACTTCCGCCGAGAAAAGATGTGTTTATAGGCTTATAAACAGACTAAGCGCATTGGCGACAAAGTGATATATTGAATTATACAGACTATTTTATCTAACCGTATTTGCTAATTTGCTACCTCAAGGCTCACACACACGAAATCGTTCATATAGAAATATGAACTGTGATCACACGCAATGTCTCATCACCCGGAATATTGGTCAGGTTTCGAAGCGATCACGGGAATCATGCCCTTTTTTGCTGGTATTATTTATGCCCTTTATTATGCTTCACGAATCACAAGAGCGGCGCAAAATATAGATGGTTTAAGTTATGGTAGTGTAAAGTTGTGTACGTAATTTAGTTGTTTGCGCTAGAATCATCATGAGTAATGTGAGTAATGAAATAATGCTGAAACGCGCCCTTTTGGCAGCCAGGCAGGGAAACCTTCAAATGCGTGGGGTCCGTGTGTTATTGTATAAAAGAGCTGCATGTTGTAATTGTATTCAGATCAATAGATCAGTAGAGAATAGAATTGGGATTAGATTAATCGCTGGAAGTTGTTGGTATATTGCATAATATAAGTACTATACTACTACTAAATTCAAACCAAACTGCAAATTTCGACACGTTATAATGCCGTTTCCTGACCATCAGATTTCTGTCAAATCTTCCCCCAAAGTCCAGGAAATGGCATTTCCGAGACTCTAAATTCAAAAATTTTCCTGGGGGGCATGCCCCCGGACCCCCCTAGACAAACCTCGCACCTGAGGCGCTCGGCTCGTGCCTTCGGCCCTCGTTTATCAAGCGAAACATTATAATATAGGGGCGCATATTTGTTGACAGCCCACTGGCCCCCCCAGAAAAATAGTACCCAGCACGCCACTGAACGCATGCGCGATAACTGTAGACGTAGCGCATGCGTGGGCATCATCCAATCAAGACGTAGGAAATATCGCGCCGGTCCCGCGAGTTCGAGAATCTACTCTGTGTCAGAATTCGAAATTTCAGTGTACAAAACAAATTTATATTTGCATTTTGCGCCTTGTTTTTGTAATAATAGTAAAGATATTTAAGTAAATATTTATTCACATGTATTCGCTTGTCGAAGTCTAAAATTTAAAGACTATGGCTAGCCAAGGCGATGAATCGACTGGAAAAGATGAAGGCGAAGTGAAATCTACACCGTCAATTTATAACTATTACTATCCTGTTAATGTTGTACATGTATAATGTGATATAACAAAGTCAGGAAAACTTTGCCAGTGGCAGTGGAATGTTCGCTATAAACGCGTAAGTTAAAACTACAATTGTCTCGAACATTTTTATGTAAGTTATTAATAAGTAAATAGCATGGTTTCTCGTGAAATTTGGATAAACATGCACTCGTGAGTTTTTCAAAGACCTCAAATAGCACGAGTCCGAATGAGGTCTTTGAAAAACTCACTCGTGCATGTTATATCCAAAAATTGCACTCGAGACCATGCTATTACCTATACAAAACATTTTGCTAATGCAAATATGTGATAAGCGTTGGAATTATTTGGAAAACGGGCATCTTGAGAAAGATGTAAATCTTTCCTGAATTATCCTATTTAATATAATTTTAGTCAACTTACTCAATTCTGGTTGGTTTAAAACTGTGGCAATTAACCCATTGAGCGGCAGCACTCTCCCCTGACGAGTAAAATCGTCTGGCGTTAGACAGCAAGAGTAAAAAAATAAAGTAGGGTGCATGGGCACATTGACGGCACAGGTGTGTCGATTAAAGATTAGTTGGCACAAATACGAATCCGCGTGCATTCCGCATGCTCACCTGAGTGCAGAAATTTAAACACAAAATCTAAATAAACAACAATTACACTGACCTCTTATGAATGAAGACAAAGAAATAAAAAAATTATTGACAGTTTTACAGGTATGTAATGAAATGAACAATAATTAATGTCAGAAATTATTAAAGCTTAAAATTGATCAGATTGGTGGATACTGTTTTGATCACTTGAATATATATTTTAAAATACAATGTTTCTTGTCATCGGGTACTCATGCAAAATTGACTAAAATAATATTAATAGGAAAAATTTACACTTGTTCTCGAAGTATTAATGAAAAATCACACAAGTTTGTGTTTGGCAAAATATCTGTAATACCACTCATTTATTTTATAATACGGTACTTCTCGAACCGTGTAATTTCCTATACAAAGTGCATTGCAGCATGACAATGTAACTCTGTCTAATGCCAGTTAGTATAAATTTCCAGGTGACTATGGATTTTTCTGCATTCTGATTGGTCAAGATTCACTGTCTCTGAAGTGATAGTCACTGGTCAGTGACTATAGCTTTTTTTTCAAAATGGCTGCTCGTTTTACCGTAGTAACAGAAGAGGAAATTGCCAAAATTAAAGAAGATAGCATTCCGAAAAACCCAAACAAGCTACAAAATATGGTTTAAAAATATTTCAAGGTAAAATATTAAACTTTACGTGCTTTTATTTGGAAAAAAACTGGCTTAGTCGCAACGCGACAGAGCCGTGTCTGAGATTTAAATTTTGTAAACAAACTATTTATAGTGAAAATAAATTTATTTGTAGTGAATTTTTATAAAGTTGTGTGGATTATTGTTTGTAAACACCTGGAAATTTATACTAAAACAATTAGTCACCTCAGGCTCGGTGATTACAAGCCTATATTCACTTCGCCTTCGGCTCAGTGAATATAGGCTTGTAATCACCTCGCCTTCGGCGACTAATTGTTAAATATGACAATGTAACTCTGTCTTAATGCCAGAGTCATTAATTGATGGAAGAGTGCTCGTGCTCAATGGGTTAGCTACATACAGTAACAACAGCAAAAATCAGGGATGGGATGGGGTCGGCCAGATCTGGTGGGTGGGTTGGTCTGTAGGAATAACCTGGTCCCTTGGTCATGGTTTGGGGTGCGACCAATGCGCATTATAATTAGGAGCCACAAAGAGCAGCATTCTGTAGAACAAGTGAGATGCTTCTCTTGGTGGGTAAGGGTGACAGGATATTGCTTTTCCAAATTGCAAAATTGAGACCCCCCCCGTAAATCTATCTGTGGAAAAAATGGTTAATTCAGACCCATGGTTGATACAATACTAATATATTCAATCCATACACATCATTTCACAAATGAGAAACTGTGAAAACATATCACCCTATGATATTTGACTTTTAAAAGTTCTTACTTAGCATTGTAAAATGATGTTCATAATTTATCACCTTTAAATGTGACATCCACTTAGAATACAACCTGCGGTCTGAAATGTGGTTGAAGTTTATTTCCTTTCACATTAAGTTTTAGCTCACGTCTCTTTTGTCTTTTGTTCTTCATATTTAAATGCTGAATCTTGAGGCGATTCGCCTCACCAATATTTCCACTCCAGCCAAGCAACTTGTAATCGGACATCAACCCTCGGACCACTATCTGGTTTTGCTTGACCTGTTCTGGCCGCAATTGCTGCTTATAGTACCGCCTTAACGACCTATGCCCTACTTTACCACCGGATGGCAGGCATAGTTCACCTGTGCTTTCTGACACAGACAATGCATTTTCATGTAAACGAACTTCGGTTTCCGATGGTTCATTATCATCACCAGGTTCGGTGTCTGGATAGCTACTGGTGAAATCATAGAAATCTGAGAACTCCAAAATATCGTCACCCTCATAAAATATCTTGCAGTGTCCTTTGTCGGTCATGTGCTTTTGTACCGCTTCGATCGAATGAAATTCTTTCCCCTTGCTGTTGCAATACAAACATACTTTGCCGAGACCAACTTTCTCTCCGAGATAGCCAATCAGAGCTTCCAAATCTGTCACATACTGCAGGTCTGGTATATAGAAGCTATGGGATTTGGTCATGTGACGCATATTATCCTCAAATGTCGTGCTGAAATGTGGACAAAACAGACACTGAGTCGTTTCAAGGCTTTCGTCGTCGGCTTCTTCGTATTCCTCGTCGGATTCGGCATCTTCTGGTTCTGAATTTGATAGATTTGCGTTTCTTTTGTTCCGTATTTCGACCTCATTGGCTGGCTTGCTGGCGTCATTTTTATGTTTCGTTTCTTGTTCTTTGTGTTTCTTTGAGTGTAAATGGTTAGAGAAGGCGTTCTCCGAGGAGAAAAACTTATTACAGACATCACAATGTTTAGAATTCTTCTCCTCTGACTGCTCGTTGCTTTCGGCTTTCTGTGCTAGTACCTTCTCGCGAAAAGCTTCGGCCGTGACTGGCGGCATCTCAGCGACTTTGCGTTTAAGATTATAGCGATGCCAGTCGCTTTTGTAATGTGCCCGTTGCACATCGCCGTCTGCAAATGCTACACGACACGAAATGCAAGTGTAAGACGGCATTTTAGTTTGACAAGGAGATGAAACCGCTCAATGAAAATGTACTTTCTCCTCGACTTTCTCTACATATACTTTCCTGCCGTTCGGTAAAAATATATAAAATATTCCATGTTGCTTCGTAGTGATGCAATTTATCTTGCAACATGTTCTCTGATTGGCTGTGGTCTTCAGGCATATGCAAATGTTATGTAATAAAACGTCATCATCAGAAATTTTGGCAGGTTGTATTTTTATTTATATATAGCTAGAATGTCTTTGTCTGGGATTTGTTCAGTCAATTTTTTATGTTAGGTTATAATGTATGTTTAAATTTCAAAATGTTCAATGTTTTCCCCACAGATGGTAATTTAATAGCGTTGTATAACATTTGGCTAAACCTAAAACTGCACGAGTTCATACGAAACCCTTGATTGGCCAAAACCTCTACAAGACATCCAATCATAATCGACGATAATTTCCAGGAGTTGGATTAAAAACATGGCGGATTTGTTGACATGAAATTTTGCTGAATGATTGTCTTTTATTAATTAAATGGTGAATTCACTGAATTGATGAGATGAATAAAGATGCTTTGCACCTAAAGCGGTTGCTTGTTTAGCTCAAAAATAGAGGAACTGTGCATGACTACGAAATTACATGTAGAAACAAGGTAATTATAAAGTGCAAATCATGTTTTGATTCAATCTTTCTTCTTAAACTCTGGAGCTCTGGTCAAAGGAGAGTAAGAATTGGCGAGAGTTGAGAAGCGAGAGTTTGGATGAGAGTTGGCTGTCATCAAAATTTGAACCAGCTTAAAGTCAAATGTGAAAGTTGATGAGAATGCACGACAGCACGAGAGTCATAATTTGAGAGTTGACAGTCAAATGTGAGCGAGAGTTACTTGCAACGATCACCAATTCCCATCCTCGGACTTCAAAGTTCTTTAAACCTATCACGTTTTAGGGTAAGGAATAAATCGCTGACTCTACTATAGAGCTTACACAGCCGGGAGCGGCGGTTTAAAGCGGGATTAGCTCTTTAGCATTTGGTTTGTGACTTTGTGTACTTCTGCATTCTCACAATTCGGATTATCACAATTCGGATTTGTGTACATTCTGGATTCTCAACACTCAACAGACAATACAATGACCAGTGAAAAATGTTGAACTTCACAGACCATAAAAACAATTGATTTTAAAAGAAGTGAGTGCAGAACATG